TGATATTTTTCCGCATCTGAGAAGATGGAAGTCTGGAATTCGCTGTCGGTATCATTCAGTAAAGAGTGGTCTGGACCAGCCGCGACAACCGCCGAAGGATCGCGTGTGTGATACTCAATCGCAAGCGGATTTGGGTCCTTTTGCTTCAAGACGGATGCTGGCTGGAAGTAGCGCTCTTCCGGGGGAATATAGCGAAACTTCTGCCATAGCTGGGTAAGTTTACGAATGCCCTCGAGACGTATCTCTTCGGGTGAGTCTTGCACAGGCAACGGCCTGCGATGCATAGCTGGTATGTCGACTGGTATGAGCACGAATCGAGCTCGCCAAAAGCGCAGGACTTCGGAAAACTCATCGTGATAGCCGGCCAAGAAGGTATCAATGATGTTCCAATTGTATTCCCGCCGTGGTGGTCGCAGCACAATTTCTCTAGGATCATAGGTATCCTCAAATGCAGTGCGGATGAAAGGCTTATATGGAAAGGGCGTATCAATACCAGCAGATGACTCCAAGGCCGTGGTAGGTTTCCTGTTGTATCTTCTTACCTCCACCTCTCCTCCGGCTACACATACCAGCTGGTGGATATTGTTTCCGACGCTCATGAAAACAGTGTCTCCATCACTAGACATGTATTCAGGATCGAGAATGCTAGCGAGAGACTTTTCTTGACGCCCAGAAAATTCAGCTACGGAAGAGCCGACAATGATCTGAAATCCGTGCGAGAGGCGAAAGGCAATCAACTCTTTGATGAGAGACTCTCGGCTCTTTGGTGCTTCCAGAATGTCGTCATCCTCGTTTTGCGTAATCTTGTATGGGCTTTCGTTGTATTGCGTTGCTATCTGTTCAACAGACGGAAACCACTCATGCGTTAAAGGTACGGCAGCAGGTGAACACAAAGATCTCCACTTTACAGTACCTGCCCTCAAGGTCCTAGGGAAGACGTGGTGCCAACGCCGATATTGGTTTTTGGAGCTTATGACGTTTTTCTTCGGGTTGCAAGGATTGACCAGGACTGCCCAAGGAGCGATCGCACTTGTTGGCGACAGAGTACGTGGAGCATCTCTAGCGCCTGCACTAGAAGACAAGTCCGGCTTTAGTCCAACGTGCTCGCCTGCCCCTCTCGCTCCTGCAAGTAAAAATGTAGATCCAGGATCTCTCACAACTGAACCAGGTTGAGAAGGGACATTGGATCGGTCGGATTGCGCACCCCTAACCGTCTCGATCGAACGGCTTGCGCGGTTGGAGGCCAATGACTCAGCCGATATGGGACCTGCTCGTGGTGCAGGTTTAATTGCAATCGGCTGTGATGGCTTACCGGTAGAAGTGTTGCGAGTGCTCGCCAGTCTTTCAGCGATAGCACCCTTTTGATTCTTTTCAACAGTCAGCATTGCAGGCTTCACTTTACCCTGACTGATATCGATGGTGGCGTCTCCAAGAGTCGGTTTAGCTGGCGCAGCTTTTCCACCGAAGCTCATCTGCCTCAAGAACCAATTTGAAGGTCTACTTTTCAGTTCCGGCTGGGTTGTTGCGGCGGTCCCAGCACTAGTCACAGACAAGAGTCCGGCTCGCCTTGGAGGAGATGACCTTCGACTCGATGCTGGGGAATTGTTTGGCTTCACATGCATAGCTCTACGATGATCTTGGGAATCTCCGGAGCCACTTCTCTTATGTGCCGCTGGGCGATCAGTTCCAACGATGCCCTTGGTCATGTTGTTCTGCCGCCGCAATATATCGGCTCGTGGCAATCCGTCGCCCTTGGGATCAGGCATCCGGTATGTACTTCCTCGAGGAGATTGGCTTTCAAGATCTTTAGATCTTTCATGTATGAGTTGCGGAAAACTTGTTTCTGGCGGAGGCCGAGCTGACTGTCCAAGTGACGGGGCAGTGCTGCGGAAAGAGGAAGACAGACGCAGACTTCGCGACAGCTCTGGGGATCCGCTTGTGATGGCGTCGCTTAGCCTTCGCTTCTGAATCTGGAGCTGGTTCAACGTAGAGTGTCTTTCCATGAGAGGGGAAAAGACCCCGCCATCGTATGCCTCCATCCAAGCCTTCTGGGCAGCTCTTGTCTCGTCCAGCTGGTCGTCGGTGTATTCTTTGTCACCCCGCGATGAATATGAGCCTGCTGCAGCTGCGGAAGGCTTGACTGCTTGCGCGGTTCGCACGCCCTCTTCGTTGGTCTCAAACAATTCGCGCAGATGATGCGGGTACATTGGATCTTCTTCTAGGTAGGGAATCGCAATGTCGCCCAGCTCATTCTCCATAACGCCCATCATTTGCAGCTCATACAAACGACAACGTAGAGAAAAGATACGACCCTTCTTGCGCGACTTTTTCACGATCTTGTCAGCCTTTCGTGGCTTTGTGAGTTCCAATATCTCTTCGGATGTTCCGGACCAGAAGGAGACGTCCACCCAATACGGCATTGCGAACCTCCATCCGTCTGACGAGTCAAGGGAGTTGTCTGTTGGTATGTGTCGGACAGTGGATGCACGTGACATAGAGCCGAATTCCGGTTGGCTTTGGCGTGGAGTTTGATCTTCTTCTGTGCGCGACATGCTCGCGCCCTCGTGGCGCTCTTTGTCGTGCTCAGCCTTCATATCGGACACTGAGCGAGGCGTTTGGTACTTGAACAAGGGTACGGAATGGAGAGGCATCGGCGAGAGACACACGAGGTCAATACCGATGCCTGATCCAATAAGAGTATCCGTAGTAAGTTTGAGCATGTTGTAGTCGACTTCAAAGACGCCAGTACCTGGAGTAACAACTATGACTGAGATACCCGTTCGAACAAGGTCTCGATCGATGTAATCCTTCGCGAATTGGGCTGCAGCCAGATTGATGGCTTCCAGGATATTACCTTGGCTTGCGGAAGAGGGTCGACCAGCTATGACAATATCAGTAGCTGTGTCTTCAGAGCTTGGCTCGTCAATCTCAGAAACAGGCTTCACTGGCTTACGGACCAGAGATACTTCTCGGAGAAACATCCTGAACTCTTTTTTGAGCTGATACAGGATGTTGATCCAATCACCGCTGGCCATGTCGCTCACGACCACTCTGTAGTAATCTCTGAAAGTTCCGGAATGCGACTCCGAGGACATGTTGCTCGTCGTTCCCTCGGGTTGATCTGCCAAAAGCTCTCCGTCATATTGCATCCTCGTAAACAGTATGATGGTGACCAAGTGCCGTGCATTGATCCTCAACCACCTTTTGAAGAGGTCTGGAAGGAAGCCACTGACAACCTTATTGAACATTATCTCGCCAGCGCCTTCGGTATCGAAATCCCACATCTCTCTAGACATTTGGATGAACAATGTGTATCGTGCAGATTCGCTGCGAAAGATGGGCTTCGATTTTGGCGAGAAGTACCCGGAATGGACAGATTGGCCATTGATATATATGTGTTTGATCGTGGCCTTGATGGTACCCATGAATAGTAGTCGTTGGCCACGGTAGACGGTACGCTTGCTGAGCTCGGCAATGGCCATGCGCCACATATCCGCGCGTGCTAGGTATTCGTCACGGAACACTATCTCCACGTGATGAGCTTCGTGAGCATCTTCATCAGCCTCCGTCACTACAACTTGCATCCTATTGCGGAACCCGAATACCTTCGCGATTCTCTCCGATATAGAAACCTTGTTGCTATTAGTTGAGCAAAAGATTAATTCGTGAGAATCTTACTTGTAGGTTCAGATACTTTGTCTTCAAGTCTGCAGGAAGCGGTTTGGGGACAAAAACATAGGCTTTTTCCGCATCGATTTCGCGACCACCGGGAATGGTCGAGCCATTCTCATCAATCGTAATGGTTATCGAATCCCGACGATTTCTTTTCGGATGGTTATCTATATTGGAATCCTTGTGCAGCGCATCGGCTTGGAAGTGTGTCGCATCTTGCGACTGACTCTTGGATCCTGTGTGAAAGTCTCGTACAGTGTGATCTGCATGTATCGCCACAATCTGGAGGAGGGCACCAGCACTGGTGGGTAACTCAGGGAACTTCTCTCCATTAAAGATGATCTCGTCTCTAGAAAAGTTGTCGTCATGAGTCCAGAGAGTGCACACCTTCTGCACTCGGGCGGGGTGGGGGGTTGAGGCGGATTTCGACATATTGGTTGGTCCTTCTGCAAAGACGATTGCTGGCTTCGTGCAGGATCAGGGACATGTTCGGGCTGCTCAGTCGCGTACGCGCGGCGATAGTCGCGCCATTTCTGTCGTGCACGGATTGTGACGAGTTTCTATAACGCATGTACAAGAGGATTTCGCGAAATCAGCGGGGTGGAGCGCATTTGGATGGTCGCGTCGCGGATGGGACTCTGTAGGGCAAGGGACCTCGAGGTGCAGATGATGCCAAGACGCTAATGGCAGGCTAACCTCGGAAGTTAATCACGATAGCGTACCCCAATCTCATCGTACTCGCGACCTCAAGAGGCTCGCTTGAGTTGATGTTCCTGTGCAATTGCGCCATCCTACGACAAATGCTAGATAACTCCCGCCTCAGTTAGTCACACATGATAGCAAGACGTGTGAAACGTGCCGTGACAACATAGGGTTTCGAATCGAACGACATGTGCTTTAGGTGCGACCAGCAGTATTTCACGAGTATCCTACTGTCGAGATTCATGTGTCCCAGACACAACCAGCCTTTCGTACTACCTGTCGAACTTGAAGCGAACACTAGACATGGCCCATGTACGACTCTTACAATGATGATCCCATTTAACACGCACCGCCAGCGTCCCAGCTCCCTTCAAATCGGTTGAGAGATGGATAAGGAACATGCCATTTCATCCAGGTCTTTCGAACAGCATGGCACGCGAGTAACCACCAGATAATTTAAGCGGAACAGAAAGTGATACCCCACGAACATGAACAGACATTCAACGCCAATACACCCGTGCTAATTTCACTGCGCCGATCTTACCATGACTCTTCAAGCAAAACTGTAAACCTGGAATGGCTTACTCACACGAATCTCTTGAGCACCATGAACAATAACGCGGCCACTACTCCGTAAATGCAAGTATCGATCCAAGCCAGGTCCGGACTATGTTGGGCGACCTGTTGGAGCGGAGGTGCGGGTCTCGTTCTTGTAGGTCTAGCCGTAGATACAGCAGGAGTGGGTCGCGTTTGGGTTGTGACTGGTACTGTAGCAGTAGGTACTGATGGCGCGGCAGGCGACGCGACTTCAGCAGGACTCTCTACTGCCCTTTGCTTGCCCTTGTCCACCGGCTTGTCGTCCTGGCCTTCCTTACCCAGCTCGTCGCGATAGGCAAGTCTCAGCTCTTCGGGGACTTGATCGTCTTTCCTCTTGCCTTCTTTCTCCTCAACCTCCTTGACGAGCTCCTCACGCTCTTGCATGATGTCAGCATTGCTCTTGGCACAGCCGGCACATTTCCACGCGCCGCTGTCCTTTGCCATGCGCTCGCGTGCCTCCCTGCTGCATTCGATGCCGCCGAGCTGGCCCTTCGCATCCGTGTCCATGAAGCTCCGTATCGCGACGAGGGCTGTGCGCACGCCCCAAGCCGGTTGCCATGTTTCTTCATGATGGCCCGATATGCTTAGGCAGATCTCGCGGTTGACTTCGAAGCGGCCAGTGGGTGTGAGGAAGCGGAAAGATGGCGGGCGGAGAGGATACGTCGATGGGAGGACTATGCGACCGTGGTAGATGCCGCCGGCGTAGGGTGATGGCTCGGGCGGGCCGCGGATTGTGAAGTGCCATTCGAAGAGGTTGGTTTCTAGAGGTTCGGCGTGGTAGTCCGAGGAGGGCGATACCGACAGTTCCGACGCTTCCTTTACTGCGACACATGTCAGCTACTTGTCACTAGTCACAGCCCAATGCTCGCGTACATATGCGCTTGATAGTCGGGTTCTTCGTGTTGAACTGCCCGCGGGTGGACATGGTCGCGGTGGATATGAGCTAGCGAGACTGTTGAAATGAGAGGTTGTGAGTATGACTAGAGGTGAGAGCAGGTTTTAATGTATGTGTATTAGCTGCTGTGCGGCGTAAGCGTTGGAGCGCAATCACTCGGAATGCAACGTAGACAACCGTGAAGCGCCGAGGCTGCGTCATTGGCAAGTACCGCCGACTGCTCGTAATCGATAGCCCCAGCCCCAGCTCCAGCCCCACTTAGCGCGTCGCGTCGGACACTTCGCAGAACCGTCGAAGCTGCTGTAGCCTGCACCCAGAACTGCAGGGGCGATGCGATAGCAATCCATCTGTACGGAATTTGACTCGGGACATTACGTGCTCCTACCACTCATACTCATCTCGCCATGTCTTACCATCCCCACGACCTGTTGATTGCGAAGTACTTCCCGGATGAAGACCTTTCCTCCATAGACTACGACTCGGTCCAGTATGCAGCTTTGTACGTCGGTGCGCTTGATGAGGAACGTATGGGCCGAGAACCTCCTCGCATCCCATGGCCACTGCCCCCTCAGCGCCCGGAGGAACATCTTGAAGCCAGTGTGGAGCAATGGCGGAGCCAGACGCTTCGGGCTGTCGACGCGCGCGTAGCTGTCTTTACATCTCGTTCTGTCCCGCAGCACACAGTAGCAACGAAAGCTATAGCGACAAAGCCTACGGCAACAAAGGACCTTGAAGCTTCAGCACCAATAAGTCCACTCACTCCTACCCACCGCCTCCTCGTCATACCCGAGCTCTTGGAACTTATTCTCCGGCAAGCGACGGCTCAGGTTCAACATACCGCATGGGACGTCAATCGTCTTTGGCGGTGTACAATCGAACATATCCTTTCGACTCAGTACCGCTCTCACTTTCCATGTCCTCCAGTTGAACATGGCGAACCTATCGATATGGCCATATGTCCGTCGTGGATGCAACCGTCGGAAGATGAGATTGCTATTGTCGAGAATCAGACCACGGATGATTCGCAAAGAGCTCAACACGAGCATGCGCTAGTCTGCTACCCAGCCAGAATTACTCAAGCCAACTCGCTATCCGAAGACGCTTACCTGACCATCCGAAGATCTTACCAACGGTTTGGTTGGATGGGAGCGTCTACGCCTGTGGCCAAAGTTCCGCTATGGCTAGACCTCAGCCAGTTCAAGATGAATCCTCACATCATGGAACTGTTTGGTAACCGCATGGAGCTAAAGCTCGGACGATGTAAAATCGCCTTGAAGGCAGGTACTAACCAGCCTTGCCTACTTCGAGGATCGCTACCAGGCGGCCGCTTCGCAGAACTCATAGCTGACATGTTCCTGACGGAGCCTGCCTGCAAGACACTTGGCGTATACATGCCTCATTTGCATAACAATCGTTTGCGTTCATTTTTTAGAGTAACCCAGGAAGATGGTATCCGTGTGGGACATTTCCTAGGCACACTTCAGCGGCATGCTGACAAGCTTCTCTCTACATGGCAAAGACAGGCTGAGATCATTCGCCAGAAGATTCAAAATACACACTGGGCATTACTAAGCACTGAGAAGCAGCGGCTTAGCCCGTGGATACATCACGCCTCGCCGACTGTCATCGTGTTTTTCGAACCGACTGGTGGATGTACTAAGACTGTGGCTCAACGGGCTTACCATTATAGTGGCGATAGTCTTGATACATGGAGGGATGAATGGTTCAGCATTGTTACAGATGACTAACTTGAGCTGAACTGATCGTTCTGGAAGTTCATCGAGCTTACCATCACCGAACACGCATTTAAGTACGGCCCAGGGAGGAGGGCAACTAGCAGGCACTAAAACCTTCACTGCAACATTCCCTCAAGAAATACCCTTCTGCAACCTCTTATACATCTCCTCCTCAGCGATCAAATCAGTCTTGAACTGCTTCGTCTGCTCGGCAACGCGCATGAGATGTTCCCTCTTCAGCTTCCCACCATTTTCCTTATCCACCAAAGCAATCCCCATAGCTGTCGACACCACATTTCTGATCTGTCGGCCATTGAATCCGAGTTTGCGACTGTCTTTCTCGACCCATCGCATAAGGTCATCGAAATTATGAACGAGTTTCTTACCTTGGAGTTGCACGAGGAAGGATTCAAAAATGGCGATTTGTTGCGTTTGCATGAGTTCTTCGTATTTGATCGCAATGTCTAGGGCAGGTGTATCAGCAAGAGGAAAAACGTTGAATCAGCAGGTGCTGGTCAAAAGACTTACGAATGCGACTCTGGACAGCGATGTCAAAAGATCTCATGCGGTTGGTGGTGAGGATCAGTATGCCGTCATAATACTCTAGCACGCGCAAGAGTACCGAGACCATGGCATTACGCCTCAGATCGTTTTCGCCGCGACCGCGCGCTTCGAGGAAAACATCCGCTTCATCGAAGAGGAGTACGGCCTCCCATTTCCCTGCAAGGTCGAATATTTTTTGCAGATTTGCTTCGACTTTGTCGCCTTCAATCCCGATGTCAGATACTCCAACGGAAAGCAGAGGCTTGCCGGCCATGAGAGCTACACTCTCTGCGGTTAAAGTTTTTCCGACGCCGGGATGGCCTATATTTGATTAGTGGCCGTGGAATACTATCGCGCGAATGGTTTCTCCTACCGTAGAGCATGATGACGAGACCCTTGCCCTTGTCCGGAGCAAAGTCTTGCAAGCTCTTGGATTCGCCCTTGGCGTCGACGTCCTTCCCGTATTCATGTGCTTGCACGGACCATCTAACCAAGTCTTTAGAGTCCGGGTCGAGCTGCAACTTGTCGCGGAAGACACTTGCATCGGCGTCGTTGGGAGGGTTGAGTTTTTCTACCAGGAGCTGCGCCCACTTCTTCTGCTTCAGCGCGTATCCGAGGACTCTTGGAGGACAATGCATGAGTTGGTCTGGCGACATGGGTTTTCCAGAGGGGTGTCGATCCCAGTGAGTCTTGTACATGTCTCTGTATATCTCGTTGGCGCGTTTTTCGGGTGATAGGTTCTCCAGTTGGCCACGGAACTGGGAAAGATCTCCAAGAACTGGAGTGTTTGGAGCTGTATATTCGAAGAAAGAGGTGAAATCGACCATCGTGGTGCCCTCAATCTAGAACCAAGTTAATCAAAAATGCAACCCAACCAAGTTAGAAACACGCAATGACTTACCTTCTTCTTTTGCACGTATCGAGCCTCGCTGACCCGTCCATCGCCGGTGTCGGTAGAAGATGTAGTATCATCATCGTGTCGAAGGCGCCTGCCCTCATCATCGTTCCCAACAAAGCTACGTCCTGTGTGAAAGTGCGCATCACCGGAGTACGTAAACATTTGTTTGCCTTTGCCCGGATCACAGAGCTTGACAAACCTCTCCCCCCGAGCGACAAGTCGTTCCTTGAGGCGAGCGGTTGCGTCATCCGATGAAATGTCTTGTTCATCTGGGCTAGTGTAATATTTGAGCGGATAGAACGGTAACTCAGCGATGCTCTTCCGATTGGAACCCCAGTGGCGAATCTTCATCTCGAACGGTACCCTGGTAAACTCTGTGCCAGTCCAGTCGAAGCTGAAGCATGTCAGATCGAAGGTGTGATCTTCTCGTAGAATGAAAGAATCGCACGAATCGACGGTAAAGATCTGAGGCTCACCCAGGCAGGGGTGTGAGACGATCAGGGTACCTGGAGGGAATAGCGTCCACAGAGCTGCGTGCGAGATGCTCCTCTCATTATCGAAGAAGTTTCTTTCTTTGAAGTACTGGTCGAGAGGTAGGATACCTGAAGATGTGGAGATGATCCGCATAAGCTCGCTCAGGTCGATACGGGCTTGCTTTTCCTCGGGCGTCTCGCTCTCCACAAACTTCTTCGCTTCATCTTCGGCTTCTGCCCACGTCCAGACCAGATTTTCAAAAGGAGAGCTGATGCTTTTGACTAATTCGTCTCCTCCGAGCTTTGACGTTATTTTGCCAATCAGCCTCTGCAATGGCTCGGCTTCGATCTGGGCCACTGATAGGACTGTTTCGACAATGTTATAACGAGGCCGAAACATGGTGGACTTGCGAAAGGTAAATGCTCTGCGACTTTCAGGTTTGGGTCCAATCTCCTTCTTCTCGTTACTTTTCGTGATCTCGTCATCTTTGTAGTCGCCAGTGTCAGGATCCCACTTGTTCACAATGATGACGTATCGGGGTTCCTCTTCCTCCTCGGCATCGTTCTTCTCAACAGGTGCCTCGGATTTGCCGTCATTTTTCTGCGCCGCAGTCAGCGAATAGACTCAAAAGCATGGGGTTTAAAGGCATACCTGTGACGCACGATCATCGTCGTTAGTTATCGAAAGCCGTTCTTCAAGCAAGGCTATCTTCTTCAGAAGTAGCTTGATGTACTGGTCCTGGACCTGAGTTGTTTCCAGGGTCTTCGCCGTGTCCTAGGTATCCATTAGAACCTGCAGACGCACGAGCGCAGCATGTCATACAAGGCCTTCGTCTGCCCCAACGGTAGCGTCGTCCACCACAGGCTGCTGCGACATTTCGTGAATGGGAAGGAAAGAGTTGCGATCGGGCTCTCACGTAGTGCGGACAAGATCGTAGCGATGGCCCTTTTGTGTATCTTTGGCGAACGCCAGCCACGCGCCTGCCTACATGATGCGACACCTTCCGTCGGCAACCGCGAGGCCCCCTAAAGGTATTGACCGGAAGTGGTCACGACATTGGGGGCCATGATTGGTAATTCGAGATTATCCAACAAGATGACAGGGTTGTGTACAATCCGACGGGACTCGAAAGGGTGGGCTGTATTGTCAATCACTGGGCACAAGTGCCTCGTCGATTGGTCTAACGGAGCGTTACTGATCTTTCGGCGTTGATTTTCCAGGGTTTGTTTGAGGGGTTGGCGCGGGGTTGTCGCTGCAATCATCTCACATGTGTCAGCCTATACACGAGATACCTTGGAAGGCGCCACGCACAAGGCTGAGTGCGACAAAGCGCAAAACCTGAACCCTGATTCGTACACCCCCAGCCTCCATATATGCATCGCGTATTGAAATTCTAAAGCTGGTCGCAACCCTGCATTGTTGGATTATGTGGATAGGTAACCTGCGTTGTAACCTATGCAAGTTTCAGCTGTGCGGTAGTAGCAATGGGAAGGAGCCATGCATACCCTGCTCGGTCGCTTCCTTGCAGTGAACTCCCCCGAAAGCCGGCGCATCTCTGTTGTAAACTCAAAGATGGACATCAGGCAAGATGAAACGCAACGAAGACCGGTGTCGCAATGGTTCCCGAATGCAGAGTGGATGTGCGTACCCTGAGGGAAAGTCTGTGGATGTTATGAGTTCGACTGACTGCAATAGGAAACATTTGCCCTTATCGCATTTCGTTGCGGAACACAACAGTTACCTGAGTAGCAAACTCAAGCGGACAGGGCTCGGAGTCAAAGCAGAGCTGAGAAGCATTCTCAATTCCGTGCCGGAGAAATATGATGCCTCCTTGACAGATCCGAAGAAAGAGATTGATCTGCTGCAGTCGCTAAATGCTATGCCACTCGATGTGTTGTCCAACTACGTTTACAAACACGCTGAAGACCTTGGGGCAGCGCATACTACCCTGGACCAGAGACGATCTGACGGTGTCCGAAAAGCCTGGTCAAAGACGGAGAGGTTCGTCATGCAGTTCGATAGGTTTCTAAATGCCTACTCTGGAATCCTAGACATTGTCAAAACAGCCGACGCTCAATACGGCGGGATAGCGGGCTCAACACTCGCGTTGCTTTTCTCGGTAGGGCCCAACCACGAAAGCCGTATCGGAGTATGGCTAACCCGCGCAAGACTGTGAAGCTGAAGATCAAGAACGAAGAAGCCATTGTGTCCGCAATGGAACAGATATCTGATCGTCTTCCAGACCTGGAGGTATACCGGAAGATCTACCCTGAGCCAAAACTAGGCTTGATGCTTGTTGATGCCTACAAGGACATCATCATGCTTGCGCGAGCAGCGACAACTTACTTTCTTGGGTCGACTTGGGGTACATAGCGCCATTGTAGCATCAAGAGTTGAGTTCCTTCCACTGACGACTGAACAGGACGCCAAGTGATCAATTTTGGAAACCCACTTGGTTTTGAGGTCCTTGAACAAAACATGAGGGACAACTTCCGGCGTATCCGGATAAGATGCGACGTCCTCCTAGCGCAACGCGTGGATGAACTTGCGAACGAGCTCAAAGGTACGTATGAAATCGATGATGCATGCCGATATACTAAGATTCAACAGATAGTTACGAGCGTGAAGACAGAACCAGGGTCGTTTCGTTACGCGATGCGCTGAACATTGGGAGTTATCGAACCGAGGATGCCGTGCTCTCGCTGAAGCAGTATCGCAAGGCGCTAGCATCCAGCTTCGATGACGACAGACATCGCTCAAAGCTATGCAAATCAAATTTGATGGCCGAAAAAAAGGCACGCGCCTGGCAAGAGAGTTCGTCCTGTCTACTTATGTTCTCGGGCTGCAATGAAGAAGGTGTCGGTGAAGTGGCACTGTCCTGGCTATCTCCAGTGGCTGTGGATATCGTGCTTGACCGGCTGTTTCCAC